TAGCTTTTATTGAAAAATGATACATTATAGGAAAACGAAACCTTTTATTTCTTCAATCCTGTTACTACATCATCAAATTTTAGACTGAACCATTTAAATCATAGTACAAATATGCAAGCGATAAATAACAAACACCTTGTTGCACGTTGATGGTGGTTATTCACCTACAATTCAGGTTTCTTCGTTAAAATTGTCAAAACAATGAAGTAATTTATATGTTCTAGGGTTAATTTTACGTAATATATTTTCTCTTGAGTGCTCTTGTTCTTTTGTTATCGATTCGTGACAAATTGAACTTGAGAAGTTTGATTCCTGTATTGGGCTTTTGTATTGACTATACATTGTATATTCCATTCATTTGTTTAAAAATAGGGACCATTTGTTGCTAAATGTCATTCATTCATTCTACGAGTAGCAATTGCATTAAATCGTGCACCATATGGGGGCATAGAAATATGCAGTAGGAATCATAAAAATGAATCAAATGCTTCCTACTGCAATTAAATATTTATTAAAGATGGACCGGATCCGCCATTTCTTTACCGGAATTTTGTATTATTTATTAAGTACTGTACTAAATTATTTGTTATTTCGATGTAGTTGTTGTAGAAAAATACATCGGTATGACTGAACTGTTACAATTATGAGGTTTTGATTAATGATAACCTATTAATAGTATGATTTTGTCACCTTGCTGACTTTTAGTGTTTATAAACATTATAAACCGTTTCGATGTAATGAGATTTGTAACGTTGGTGAGAGTAGTAGATATTTAATAGGATTTAAATTTTCTGTTTGAATAACCTTGCAAACCCATCGCTCCCATTTAATTTGTTTGCTCAATTGTTTTTTATTGAAGTACAAGTTAATGTTGTAAGTTCCGACTGAAAAGGTTGCCGACCTCTGGTTTATTCCATTGCTTATCTTTCGGGAGGCGGCGGGTTCGTCTGCCTTGGTTCAAATTATTCTGTGGTTTCCTTGGATCACTTAGGCAAATGCTGAGACAGTAATATTCCACAGATAATCTTTCATTCTCTTCTGGCTTCATTTCGCCCGTCTCATCTTTCTCACTCGAACTACCACCCAACAATTCCTACGATTCCTGCAAGGAGGATGAAGAGGGCCTTCTGTCCTACCTTCTGGCGTAGTCCGGAGAGACTGCCCGTCCATCAGCATTAGTGGCTGGTGGGAATGAAACACCCAAACGTTTTTTTTTTTTGGGTTCTGCCCAGCAAGATTACTATCAGGTGCATCACTACTATTTATCATATTGGATTGGATGGTTTTTACAGATTCTACGACGTTATATATCTATCACTTTTTAATCTTATTTTTTAATTTTGATGAAAACTTAATTCCATTGGATTTGCTAATAGTAATAACTAACATATATGTATAGTAATATGGCTGAGAGATACGTTGAATATTGTATCTATTATGCTATGTTTAGATCAGCTTGGAGTAACTTCATTCTTTTTCCACTTATTCAATTGTCGGATGTGTAGGGGTTACAGTAAATTGCATGGATGGTAGACAGTTATTCGCAATTTGATTCGCTTCCACTTAATAAGATTGTTTTTCTGTTTTCACATGTCATTCTAAACTTTACCTCTGAAACTTCACATGCTATTTTTCGTTTATGTTTAGAAAGGTTAAAAGAATAAACTCTCACATGATTTACTGAACTGAACTTAAAAACATTTGTCATAAGGTCTGAAAACTCGCCCGCAGTTTTCTTGATATTTTAGGAACTGAGAAGAAATACTGCGGCTTATAATCAATAAAATTTTAAACTTTAAAAATGTTTCGATATTTACTCTTTATTTTTTCCTTCAATGCTGTTACATCTTTATTGTTGTGGTTAAGTTCACATTATTATTAATAAACACCTGCATTAGGGTGGGCAAAACTTTCTTTCTGTTACTGTTCAAAATGACAAAAAAATTAGCTTGTAAAAAAGGCAGCTCTTAATTTAAATGTTAAGAGGTGTCTTATCGTGATTTTTGGTTTCCTATTTAAATAATACAAATAAATAATTTTATTGCGTTTCAACGAATTTTTGTATTTTGTTAAAGTCAATACATAGTCTTGTAGGGAATTGAACGATCTACAAAAATGGTCTGAAATGATTTTTCGCTAAGTCAACTCGTTTAAACTTCCACCTTTTTATAGACTTTGTGGATACGAAACATGGACCGTGTGGGCGCAGGGGAAAAGAAAAGGTTAGAAGCGTTCGAAATGTGTTACAGGCGAATGATGAGAATACCGTCGACAGAGAAGGTTAGAAATGAAGAGGTATTAGAAAGAATAGGAGAACAGAGTACTCAATGGAAGTCAATAAGAAATAGGCGAGATAGGTTGGTAGGACACCTTCTCAGGCATGAATGGCTAGTCAGAGACATATTATAGGCAGAAACAGGAGTTTAAAGGAATAGACCTGGATTAGATTACTGTTACTGCAAATAGTTAAGGATGCTGGTTTTATCTAGTTTTAGGGAAATGCGCAAGAAAGAGTGGAGGTGCATGTTCAATCAGTCTTAGGACTGACGATGATGAATAAATAATAAAGTAAAAGATTTACAATTTTGACTGTACAATCCAAAACCAGCAAAATTAAACTGAAGCGACAGTAGGTATATTACCCCGAGATAAAAATGTTCAGTCTCTCAGAGTCTCTGAAAGCGAGACTCGAGTCTCCGTCTCCCATCGAATCTGTCTGGTGTCGCTGAGAGAGACTGTCAAAAAAAACNGTTGGTAGGACATCTTCTCAGGAATAAAGGTCTAGTCAGAGACATATTAGAGGCAGACACGGAAGTTAGGAGGGGTAGAGGTAGACCTTGATTAGATTACTGTTCGCAAATAGTTAAGGATATGGGTTGTTCTTGTTTTACGGACTTGCGAAGATTAACTCAGGATTGGAAAGATTGCACACACCTCCAGTGCCCACCCAGTCTTAGGACTGGCGACCTTATAATGATCCAATCAGTACAATTGCTACTCCCAAGCACTTTCTAGAAAATTCTAAACCGACGTTTGATGACAAATTGGTAGAGGCTTTTGCGGCCAGTAAGTGAACTAATGCTGTCCTAGTTCTGGTCTAACTCCACATCCAGCAACGACGGCCTTTAGACCTAAATCAAAGCAAATCCAAACGTACACCAGACTCAAAGCTCAAACATTATAGGAGAGATTTCAAGCATTTTTTAGGACACTTTTGTCAAAATATACCAAAATGCTCTAATTTACTGTTAGAACTCAGCTTCACCATTCAAACACCGAAACATAATGCTGCACAACATTTCAGAACATTCTCGATTTTCCGGTTCTACTCTAGAACATTCTACTTCATATTCGCATACATTTTGGTAGGTACATTTTCACTCATTCCAAACGGGTGTTTGACATATAAAACGCTCTAATACAGTGTCAGAGACTACTGACCGGCATGGTCTAGAGGGGAGGACGCCGGTTCGATTCTGGGTCCGTCTGCCTTGGTCCAAGTTTTTCTGCGGTTTCCTTGGATCACTTAGGCAAATATTGGGGCAGTAATATTCCACAAATAATTTCTCATTCTCATTTTCTTCCGTCTTCATTTTTCACCCGAACCACCACCCACTCATTCCCACGATTCCTGAAAAGAGACTGAAGTGGGCTTTCCGCCCTACTTTTCGGCGTAGTCCGGAGTCCAGCATTACTGGCTGTTGGGTATGAAACACCCAAATGTTTCGAACAATTGTATAGGAAATTCGAAACATTCTTTAGAACACTAAAGCTGAAATATAAAAACTCCCTAGGTCGGCTACTTTCAACTGCCATATCTCCCACACTACTACGGTTACCGACATACAAACACCATTCTGCTTGAGACTCAAGACTACTACCACATAGAAAAACCGTTTAGCTAGGTTTATGCCCTCACTCATTTTAAATGTATGTTTGTTGGTCAATTTACAAACCCAAGGAAACGGCAGACTAGATAAATCTCGGTCATTACAGGAGACACTTTGGTCGAAATATACCGATAAAAAGGCCTTAATCTGATATCAGAACTCAGCTCTATTACTCAGATGTTTCGATACTCGAATATTTTAGTACGTCCTCGATTCTTCGGATCTTAGTCTAGGACATTCTACTTGAGAATAATCCAAGATGTTCGAGTGTATTTTCGAAGAAGACCCTTAGGGACATTCCAAAACGTTCTAACTGAGGATAACGCTAGAAACATTTAAGAACATACAGCATACTTTCTTGGTGTAAACTGACGCTTAATAGACCCGTAACCACCATACCCATCAAACTGAAAAAATATCGAACAATAGAGGCGATTCCGAACATATTGTAGAACAGTGGTCGAAATATGAAATTGCCCTAAGTTGACTACTCTTAATCATCACATGTTCCACACCAACACATCCACTGATACGTCTAATTTTATTTATATATTTTGATATATTGATACTGATTAATAAGCATGTGGACCAAAATAAGTGATTAAAGAAAATTGTTTTCGCTGAAAAAACGAAATTTAACTAATACTTAATTAAATGTATGTTAGGTATTGCAGAAAGAAATTTGAAGTGATCAGTATTCTGTCGAGACTGTCAGACGCGGATCGCGATTTCGATTTTGTTGGATCTCATCAGCTCATTGCAGACAGTTTTGACAGAACATAGACCAAATCTGCCTGCTGTCTGCAAGAAGATATCTATCTATTTAAATGAATCTTGTTGAGCATATTGAACTCCACTAAATGTAGCATTGTACTACCTAACCTAAACTAACCTAACCTAACCCGGTCAAACGCCATGCCATCTTGCCGTACTTTCCCTTCCTTAACAAACCAGATGGCGTTTACCGCGCCATTTGTACGATTTCATAAAACGCGCTGTGTTAGGTGTTGCTTTCATTAACAAATGATTGTGGTGCTTTTTAAAAGATAATGCATATCTGACACGCACAGGAAAGGCTTTGTTGTTAAGTGAGTGTTTTCGTTGTTTCAGGTGTTGACAAAGGACAGCGTTACGGTCTCCGTGGACGCCGTGGTGTATTATCGCGTCTCGAATGCCACGGTTTCGATTGCGAACGTTGAAAATGCTCATCACTCGACTCGACTGTTGGCGCAAACGACCCTACGTAACATAATGGGCCAACGCCCATTACATGAGATCCTCAGCGAACGTGAAAGCATTTCTAAACATATGAAATCGCTATTAGACGAGGCCACCGAGTCGTGGGGAATCAACGTTGAAAGGGTTGAAATGTAAGTCAAGATTCCTATATGCATGCTCTATATACCTAATACAAATATGGTAAAGTTTTCACCAACCATACTGAGATTATATTAAAAAGATATATTTCAAATGTGCAGTTAACACTTTCAACTTTGCACTAGACGCCATATCTACTAATGACTAGCCGTAACCCCTCCAAAATTGGAAGGTAATTCTGTGAGTTTTGCATGTCGCTTGAAACCATTTTCGCCATGAGATAATCCAATCCCTTAACAAATATACATATCAAACAAAAATTTAACGGTTATCATCACATGCCATTAGAATGTATACAACCAGCTATAAACTGAAATGTAGGTATTTAGGCCCGTCTCTTTTTGAAATGAAATTTTTTTATAACGGGGTATCACGAAAAAGCGTTACGGCCGCGTGGAGGGAGTAGACGATATATGGCGGGGTGAGAGGCGACAGCGGCGGACGGAGAGCGGGGAATCCGCTAGAGTCCCGGTGGCGTGTACTGTGCTCAGCTGTTGTTTTCTTACCTCTGCTCTCCACATAGCTGGGTATCATTGCCTCTATTTGCGGTCTGTGTAAAACCCAAATCTTAATTTGCAGTAAACCTGTGAAAACGACATGTGTCCTGGGATACATAGTAGAAGTGGAACTTCGACGAACAAGTTGAAAGACGAATGGCAACGGACAAGTGGATAAACAAATCACAAAAAAAATTTTACTTGATGTTTTACGGGCATGTTTTCAAATTGAACAAGTACATTAACAATCTGCGATTCGTTTTTCCACTTGTCCGTTGCCATTCGTTTTTCTGGGCTGGACTGTGCTGGAACACACACATTTCGTTTTTCTTTCCAATGGTTTTCTACCATTGCGTATAGGTCAAAATTGGTGATATTTAATTAATGATTCTATGGCATGTGGCACAATTTGATCTTTTAATTAAACATTTTAATATCCAGCTCGTTCCAGAATATAATATTATGAGATCTCTAAGCACACAAGCAGGTTTGGAAACTGTTACATTTCATCTTTAATTGCATTGTGGAAATATCTGTCCCACTCGGTACTTTTGAATGTGCTTGAAGCGACGTCATCCTTTTTCCATTTGATAAATTCTCGGATGTATTTGAGTCAAAATAAATTGCATGTATGGGGTAGCGAGTTGCAGTTCACTATTTTATTCGATAGAATTGTTTTTCTTCTATTTTCACAGATTATTTTAAATCTCACTTTCGAAATGCTATTTGCCATTTTTCTTTTCTGTTTAGAAAGGATAAAGTGGTAAACTCATATAAGATTTACTAAACTGAACTCGAAAGCAATTGTCATAAAATACAAGAAATCTATTTTGTCGTTTTCTTGATATTTTTAGGTACTGAAAAGAGTTGTTGCGGTTTAAAAACGACAAATAGTTATTCTCATTGAAGAATTTAAACATTTTCTGTTCTGTTTCTTAAAACGCTTCAAGATTCACCATTTTTGGTGTTTAGGTAGGTAAGTAACCATCAGGGTTGGTCGGTTGCGAGACTAATTTTAGTTGATCGTCGATTTTACTTATCTGCCTATTCCTCGCTGGAATGCTCCTTATACTAAAACACAGTGGTATGCATTCACAATCCTTTTTCCCCATTAGACTACGCCTATTACAACAAGTCGATCGCGACACACTTTAAGATAAAAATAGATCTTATATACAGAAAAGTTGGCCACCTCTGTTCATTATCATCATTAAAAGATCGTCAGACCTAGGACTGGTTGGACACGTACCTCCACACCTTCCTATCCTGATCTAATCTACGCATTTCCCTAAAACTGGAACATCCCACACCCTTAATTATTTGCGAATAGTAATTAAATCTAGAAGCAGAAACAGGAGTTAGAAGGAGAAGAGGTATACCTAGGTTATATTACTGTTCGCAAATATTTAAGGATGTGGCTTGTTCTAGTTTTAAGGAAATGTGAAAATTAGCTCAGGATAGGAGAGAGTGGAGGTGCGTATCCGACCAGTCTTAGGACTGACGACCTTTGTTTTGAATGAATCTAATCTAGGTCTACCTCTACTCCTTTTAACTCCTGTTTCTGCTTCCAATATGTCTCTGAGTTGGCCTTCATGCCTGAGAAGGTGTCCTACCAAGCTATAGAATATTACCTCCTCGTTTCTAAGCTTCTCTATAGACGATATAAAAGAACAGTAAAAGAAGCAAGTTATTGATTTTAAATTTTTACTGTTTAGGAAGTTATACGTATATTGACACGTGCCACTGAACTGCCAATTTTATTACTTATACAGATTGCAGATATATTTGGAAGAGGTATTTCGAGCATTAAATTTATAAGAAATTGAGTTGACTCCAGTGTAACGTTACATTCAACGAAATTGGAAAGGCAATGTGTGTGTGTGACTCGGTTTCGTAAAATTCAGGAATCTATAATCCAATTTAAAAAGTTCTTCCTACTGTAAACGACTCACACACATATATATAGTACCTACTAATATACAGTGTGTATACTTAAGTTGACAACATACGGGAAACTTCTTTATTATTAATCTTACGAAAAAAAGTTACTCTTTATAAAAAGTTCTTCATGGCCTAAAAAACGTAATGACATCATCAGACCTAATAATTTATAAGCCATATACATGTTTTGGCACAAAATATGAAATTTGTATAACAGTAAAGTACCTTTATTTTTGAAAAAAAAAATAATAATCTTTAGAAAGAAAAGTCGTTGAGAATTAAAAAGTAGTTACAAATATGCAACCGTATCTATAAATTACCAAAACTATAATTTTGCATATTTCTTCATACTTTTTCACATTAACAATAATACAATTCTGATCAAAGTTACCGTGTAAATGGCATGTTTGTCTATATTTCACTGAATGTCAAAAATTAGTATTAAATATTAATCTGAAAATTAATTTTCAATTTTTTACCCACTATAAATTAACTATAGGTTAATGAGCGAAAATTTGTTGTTTTTATCACACCCTCGCCGGGAATCGAACTCGGGACCTTTGGCTGCACGCACCAATGCTCGGACCACTAAGCATTTCTGATGAGGGTGTCACAACAGCAACAAATTTTCCCTTATTAACCCCAGATAGTTTATGGTGAGTAAAAAATTTTAAAGTGTTTCATTAGTAAAATTATTCGATTATGGTAACGTGCCTATCACGTTGAGGTTAGCTACGCCGGGATTCGTTTCAGCAAGTAGATATCCATATATTTAAATGGACCTTGTTGGAACATACGTAATCCCAAAAATGTAGCATCGTACTACAGATGGCGTTTACCGCGCCATTTGTGGTATTTTCTAA